ATAGAGAGGGAATATGAAAAGAGAGACCAGAGAATAGTAAAGATAAATGAAGAGAGAGGAAAAAAAGAGGGTGGAATGAGAAACAAGAAAATATTAAAAAAAAAAAAAAAAAGCAGAGCTAGAAAGGATAAAAAAGGGAGGGTGGTAAATAAATTCTCACTGAGCTTTTTATTTCTGTAGTTTATGAACTGTCCTTCTGTGTCTTAGTTATCTAGTGCTGCTATAACAGAAATAACACAAGTAGATGCTTTTAGGAAACAGAAATTTATTGTCTCACAGTTTAGGAAGCTAAAAGTCCAAATTCAGAAAGTCAGTCAGCTATAGGGGGAGACTTTCTCTTTGTCAACTTTGGAGAAAGAGCCTTTACCTTCCTTTAACATCTGTAAACCCAACATTGTTTGCATATTTCCATGCATCTTGCATCAGTCTTCCTCTGGATCTAGGAATTTCACAGTGCAGGAACCACAAGTCCAACGGATACACTCCATTCTCACTCTTCTTTCTTGGTGGTCCTTCCTCCTCTGCTCACTTCTCTCTCTTATCTTTGCAAGATGAAATATGTTGCAGCCACACCTCCGAAGAAACTTCCTTTCAATTGATTGGCTGCTTGTAGCAGATCCCATCATGGAGGTGATTACATTATATTAGATCTCGTCATGGTGAATTATTGTATCTAACTGCCAAACCATAGAGACTCCCAGCCCAGCAAGTTGACACAAAACCCTAACCATTACATACTATCAGTTGAAATAATCATTAATCTATTAAAATAGTCACTTGTAAGCAGGGTAAAACTTTCACTCATTCCAGTGTTTGACATTTAAAGAATAGATTAACTGTTCTTAACTAAAAATTATGTTACCCAGTAAACTAGACTTATCAGACGGCCTTCAACTCTGTACTGTTGTCACTTCGTCAAAGAATATCATTTTATTGTTCATAATTATAAGTGTTAAAACTTGATAACAATTTTCATTTTTTCCATGCTTGATAAGTGTGCTTGTTGTATCCACACACCCTCTATTTTTGAGAGTTAAAATATTAGTAATGAAGGATATTATTCCTGTGGTTTTAATTTCAAAATAACTTTAGCTTTTTCTCTTTTCAACACTAAAAGTTTTTTATTGGATTTCTAGTGTTGCTTGAAACGTACAGTGTATCTGAATGCTAAAACATTAGTAGTTGCTATTTAAGTATTACATTTATTTTCCTAGTGAATAAGTGACATTAAAACGTGGCATTACTAGTGAAATTGGAACAGCACTTTAATGCCATGTATTGGTTCTGGTTAAGAAACTAGGAAGACCTTAATGAAAAACAACTTTTAAGTTTTACAACTTTTTGTAAAGTTCAGTTCACATAACCATTTAGATCCGCTTAGGAATCTTGCTCTGCTATTAAAATTAGTTTTCCTGAATCTTGGCATTCATTAATGCCATGTTCTCCAGTTAGAAAGGGACATATGATTAAAACTTACATATCAAAACCTTAATTGGTATATGTTAACTTCTTTGGCATCTTTGTGGCTTTTTATATCAGAGTTTAAACTACAAGATAGATTTCTTTAAAAGAAAGCTTATATTAGGACAGAATTTGCAACTTTATTCTTAACAGAATTTTTTACTAGGGCACTTACAAAATGTTAATATTGAATGATTTTCTTATTTCTATAGCATCTATAATGAATGTGTAAATTGCAAACAAGCTCTGACACATGCATAAATTAACAGGTGGGAGGGTGTGAAATAAGAGCAAAGAACCACATGATCTAATATGGACTCATAATAGAAGTAAACATATGATATTTTGAAGTTCTCATTATAAGCAGAAATATGAAATTGTGCTTTGGTAAATAATTCCAGGCTTTTTTCTCTCTCTTTTTACTTCTTAGAGCAATGATGGAGAAGAACGTTTAGCTGTTGTTCGACTTCTAGCTAAGTTGTTTGGTTCTAAAGACTCTGACTTAGCAACACAGAATCGTCCACTTTGGCAGTGTTTTCTTGGACGGTAAGAGAACATGTAATTCTGATTTCTGTGTTTTAGAGGCCAGTTAGTAAGCTTCACTTGATTAAAGCCACACATAAAAACTTCAGGTGACATCTGCTAGTTTACGTGGTATCTGTGTCCTGTATCTGGTATCTGTAAACATTTGTCCTGCAATTTATTCTTTGATGGAGAATAAAATGTAGGACAAATGTTTTTAGAAAGCTTGTTTTTTACCCACATAACACTTTACCTTTTACTTGTGTGTTTGTGTGCTAAAATTATATCATTAAAATAAATAGATAACATTTGTAGTTGTTCTAAATCTTCAGATTTTTTAATAACTCATGAGACTAAAGATATACTGGTCCAATTTTAAGAATCTATGGCAGTTGCCAGTATAGCAACTTATACTAGGGCTTATCTTTTGGGTCTGTGGCTTATCTAATTGCATAATGTACTTTTAACTAGATTGGTATAGTTGTCTGACTCTTAAATTGAATATATCATTGCTCTTAACTCATAGTTATAAATGTCTTCTTAAAACAGAATGATAATGTTTTAACATGATTGAGAAGTGTATTTGTACAATTAGTATTCTAGAGAACATTTGAGGTTTATTATTGTTTAGCTCAGCTGCCTCAAAATTTTAGTAAACAATTATAATCCTGTATGTATTAATTATGATAAACAAATCTGAGACATTTCTGACACTATAATTTTATCTTAGCATATATTGGCTCAGAACTGTCCATTTTGAAGCTCTTAAGGAATAAATAACAAATATTCAAATAGTTGCTTTATTCCATAAGAATTTAATATAGAAAGAATGAAGCAATTAAAACTAATACAAATACAGAGAAAGAATTCTCTGCCCCTATATTTATAGCAAAACATTTGAAATAAAAATACAAGACTTAGTTTTTATCTGGGTTACTTATAAAAGCTGTATCAGCTGTATTAGCTCTTTACATTCATCATTTTCCACTCACCACTAACTCTCATGATGTTTGTCTAGTTCATAGAAACAAAGAAATGTTGTCAGTCTTTCTGTTCTTTTGTATTATTTTTCTTAAATACAGGTTTGCATTTGAATACTTTATAGTACTACTTGACTGTAAAATAATGTTTCCTTTTTACTTACAGTTAGAAATTTATAAATCTAAATAAAAGGTTTTATTAAAATGTGATGATTGACTCAGGATAAGAAGTCACAGACATTAAGATATTTACTAAACTTTAGTATAATATTTTATGAAGTCACTTCAAAAATAAAATATTCCCTGCTGTATAAAATTTGCATCATATGTAATTGACAATTTATGTTTAAAACCTTGCCCAATAGTAAGTTTATAGTTGAAAGTTGCTCACCTTCACGAAAAAAAAAAAAAGGATAGTGGGGGGATTAGGAAAGAATAATGAAGATGATTATACAATATGATGAAAACAGTTTGTATCACTGAATTTTGCATGTAAAATATGTTAAAATGGCATATTAAAAAGTTTCCTCTTCACCTGTGGGGAGTGGGGAAGAAGTTGCTCACTTAACCTTGTTGTATAAAGTTTTGATTTTATATGTGGTATTTTGTGCAGTAGGCATTTTTAAAGAGCTAAAACGCTATACATGCTAGTCCTGGCCAGTTGCACTCATTTTTAAACTTCTGGCTCCTCCGTTTATATGTATAGTCTTGCTTTCCTTCTCGTCCTCCCCAGTATTTTCCTCTTAAAGCTTATTTTTTAAACAGACTGTGCAGTTACAATTTATTTTTTAAACACTTAAATTTTTTGACCCTAGAAACTTGGTAGTTGGAATCGGTTCCAACTCATAGTGACCCTGTACAGGGTTTCCAAGGCTGTAAATCTTTACAGGAGCAGAAAGCCTCATCTTTCTCCCGCGGAACCGCTGGTAGTTTCGAACTGCCGACCTTGAAGGTTAACAACCCGATTCGTAACCACTATGCTAGGGGGTTATTTATATTGTGTTTAGTTTGTTTTTGCATGATAAACAAATTTTTTAAATGTGTTTATGAAATTATGTATCTGTTCATGTATGAGTACTACATTTATGTTCTTCCTTTAGAGCATGTTAGCTATCCCCAGAATAATCAACAAGCTCCCTTATCAGTGACTGTTGATTATAAACATTTATAATCCTTACGTTGTTGTTGTTGTAATCCTTATAAGATATGCCTTATTTGAAAATAGTTTGGTTAAAAATTAATATTTAGCAATCTTTTGTAGATTTAATGACATTCATGTTCCCGTGAGATTAGAAAGTGTGAAATTTGCCAGTCACTGTTTAATGAATCACCCAGATTTAGCAAAGGATCTCACAGGTAAGCTCGCTGGTTTATTATAAATTTTAGAGTAAGCACATTAATATATTTTAGGGGTAACTTATAACCCAACTTAATTTTCTAAACCAGTTAATTCAGAACCAACTCAACAGCACTTAATAACAATGTATCTGTCATGGACTAGTAAGTGATTTCATGTTTATATGATAAAATTGCATTTGAAATCTTAGCATTTTAATCCTTTGGAATTTTTTTGGAAATCATATTTTAGTAAAATAAATTATTCCTTGTAGCATTGAGTTTGAGCACAAATTACTATTTGTGCATAATAATTGTAGTAATGGTGGTGGTAATGTGTGGGTTCCAACTTATAGCAACCCTTTATAGTGTTTCCAAGGCTGTAAATCTTTACGGGAGTAGAATTATAGTAGTATGCCAGCAATAAAGGGAAAAGTGATTATCTCCTCTACTAGAATTTCTTTCATTCTTTGCTTTAACTCAGAGCATTTAAACTGACCTTTCTTTCAGAAAATTAACCACAAAAAGAGGCGATAACATTTCTTTCGTTTTCATATTGTGAGTTATTTTAGAATATTTTTTAGAAGTCATAGAATTTTAGTTTAGATTTTATATTATGTTGAACACAGGTAGGTGTCTGCCAGCTAACTTCGTATATTTTTTTTTCCATTTTAAACATAGTTTTTATGTCATAGATTTATTCTTTTCAACAAATCATCTCTAAGCAAATGGCAATTTTCTAAGTACAAATATTTTTAGATCCAGTAGGTGCTATTTTACAGTTAAAATATAATAGAACTCTTTGTAAAATTTTGTTTATAAAAATGTGTAGACTGTCTGATAATTGTATTAACAATATCTCTATTAAAGTCAGAAAAACATTATGATAAAAGATATGATTGATATACTGAATATTTCTTAAACCAAAGCACACTTTTTAACAGTTTTAACTATTTTACATTCGTAATTTCCTTTGCTCAAAACAGAGCCCTAATTTAAGCCACTGTTTGAATAGGGTTCAGAATGTAGGTATTTTTCTTATAGGATATCTTTGTTTCAGGATGTGCTGCAAAACAGTAACTGACAAATGTGACTATGTTAGTTAGAATTTGTAGCAAAATAAACCCTAATTTATATCTGCCAACAGATACCAACAAATTTCTGTGCCCAAGGTTACTACAGTATTGAGGTCAGAACATGATCTTTCATATGGTCAGACTTTGTTTACTAAATAATGTGGTGGTGGTGGTAGTGATTGTATAGGGTAAAGTTGGTTCTGACCCACAGTGACCCTGTGTAGGATTTCTGAGGCTCTAAATCTATATGGGGAGTCCTGGTGTGGCGCTGTGGGTTAATGTGCCTGACTGCAGAGCTGTTTGAACTGCAAGGTCAGCGCTTCAAGCTCACCAGCTGTTCCTCGGAAACCCTATACAGGGTCACTATGGGTCGGAACTGACTTGACGGCACTTAACAACAACAACAAATCTATATAGAGCAGAAAGCCTCATCTTTCTCCCGCAGAACAAGTGGTAGTTTCGAAGTACTGACCTTGAGGTTAGCAGCCCAACTTGTAACCACTATGCTACATGAGCTCCTTAAATAATACTGTCATAAAAACCAAAGGAAAAACCTTAATGGGTTCTTCCAAAGCAGCATTACTTTCCAAATGACTTTTCTTTGATTGTACTCGACATGCTGGAAGAAGGATGCCCTTATAATAATTTTTACTTTTTTTTTTTTTTTTTTCCATTTATAACTGGAATTCTAAACTATGTAAATCAGATATATTGTGAAATTTAAATTTCCAGAATTGTTCTTGTCTGGTCCAGGATTCCCCCCCCCACCCCACTACCGTTGAGTTGACTGACTCATTGTGACCCAATCATGTAGATTAGAATGGTTCCTTAGGAATTCTTAAACTAAATCTTTATGGAAGCAGACAACCTCATCTTTCTCCCATGGTGGGGCTAGTGGGTTTAAGCTGTCAACCTTTCATTTTCAGTTAGTTGCCCAATGCTTAACCCACGGCATCACCAGGGCTTCTTTGGTCCAGGTTGTTGTGTTCTTCTGAGTTAGTTATAGCTCTTAGCAACCCTGTATAGGGTCTCCAAAAGCAATGTTGGGTTTGAACCTGCTGACCTTGTGGTTATTCTAAAGGGCCACACCAGGGCTCTTGGTCCAAGATAAACTTTATTTATTAAGACATGAACATGTACTAATAGTGGTCTGGTTTAGTTTATTTTATGATTGCATACTACATTGCATACGCAAAAATAAAATGACTTAAATTCATGTCACATTTTAGCAAACATTGTTTAGTATGGACAAAAGTTAAAGCATTAATCTTTTCCATTATTTTGATTCATAATGAATTGGGTAGCTAACAACAGCTTAACTTTTCTGTTATTACAGAATATTTGAAAGTTAGATCACATGATCCAGAAGAAGCTATTCGTCATGATGTTATTGTTACTATAATAACAGCTGCCAAAAGAGACCTTGCTTTAGTCAATGATCAGCTGCTTGGCTTTGTAAGGGAAAGAACACTGGACAAACGGGTAAATCTGAGGAGTTTTCTTATTTTGCTTTTAATGTATTTATTTACTGTGTCTATTGGGTATTACTGTGTTTAAATTATTTGCTAGGTAGTAAAGAAGATATTTGTGTTACATTTTAAGTGTTTGTAGGTGAAAGTCAAATTAATAAAAGCTAGTAATTTGTCTGTTTTCAATGTACCCCTCCTCTTGATTATATTTTTGAATAAACAGTGAATTCTGTAGTTCTTCAGACCCTTGACACAGGCTTATCTTCTAGGTTCCTTTTATAAAACAGCAGCTAAACTAAACAAAGTTTTTATTTTATCCTGTTACTTACACAAGAATAATGTTAGGTTAACTATATGTATTTTCCTTAGCATTTCCAAAAGTGACTGTCTTGTATAACTTAGCTGGGTCCATCATTCACTGAACTAAAAGAATATCTTACTTCCTAAGAAAATGATATTTTCACATTGCTAGGTGTGGCGCTAAAGGAGCTCTGGTAGCGTAATGGTTACAAATCGGGCTGCTAACCTCAAGGTCAGCAGTTCTAAACTACCAGCTGTTCTGCGGGAGAAAGATGAGGCTTTCTGCTCCCGTAAAGGTTTGCAGCCTCGGAAACCCTGTGCATGATCACTATGAGTCGGAACCGACTCCACAGTACTTAACAACAACAACAACATGTGTGGTGCTGTAGGATCAGCATTGGACTGCAAAACACATGGTCGGCAGCTCAACCCCACCAGCTTCTCCTCAGAAATCCAATACAAGGTTGACTTGACAGCACTTAACAGCAAAGGCAGACATGGCAGTTATGTATTTACTTTTATTGTGCGATTTCCTCCATTTGAGGAAGCAACAGTACTTGCTAAGGAATAATGTCGACCATAGACAAGAAATAGGCCTACAAAGCAGACTGATTTGACATGCTACTTATTAATATCATTAACAAAGGTTGCCTTGCAGTATGCTGTTTATTTGAAGCATAGTTAAAAGCTTGCTGGAAATCAGTATGGTTTAGCTATAGTTTTTGGGTTTAGCTATAGAAAAGGAATTGTTCTTGGTTTTGATATTTAGCGAGAAGATAGTCTTTGAGTTCTTAGTTTTAAAATAGTTATAGGCAGATTGTTGTGTGCTGTTGAATTAGTTATGACTCTTAGCAACACTGTATAGGGTTTCTAAAAGCAATGTTGGACTCTTTTTAATTTATTCAACAATATCAGCCATTCTAATTGGAAGATTTTATTCCCTTTTTTTTTTTTAATTTAAGTGAAATGACACTCCACCTAGTGGCTTGTTGGCAACTCCCTCCCTTCCCCCTCATATTAGTTATTGCCATTTGTGAAATTTCTTTTAGAAAGACTTCACTCCTGCTTTTCTCCATGTTTGTTTCATAGTTCCAAGAAGAATGAGTTAAATGAATCTTTCTAAGACCAAATGATGTATTCAGAAGAGCACTTACTTGATGATTTAGGGCCCAGATTTTGGTCTAACTTAGATGACCTTCGTAACCTTTATGAAATGTGTTTTCCATAAAATGTGGGGACTGGATTTAATCTTAGATTTCATTATTCACATTTTTGGTTTTAATACTACTTTTTCCACAAACTTTTTGAAGCTACCTTATATAGTAGTTGTTATTAAGTGCTGTCGAGTCAGTTCTGACTCATAATGACCCTTTATAGGATTTCCAAGGAGCAGCTCATGGGTTTGAACTGCTAACCATGAACAGTCCAGTGCTTATCCTGCAGTGCCACACCAGGTCTCCCCCTTGCATTTTGTTGTTGTTAAGTGCCATCGAGTTGGTTCCAACTTATAGCTACTCTGTACAGGATTCCTCAGAGTGGTTGGTGAGTTTGAACTGCTGACCTTGCAGCTCAAACTAACCTTGCAGTCTAGCACATTATCCCTGCCATGCTACACCAGGACTCCCCCCTTGCATTAAGACCTGTTAAACTTTATCTGTTACCTACTATTTCAAGAAAGCAGTTTTATTTTATCCACTAAGAAACCTAAAAATGAGAAAATGATCCCAAAAAAATTAGAAGGAAGTATTTATTTAATTAAAGAAATCAACTATCTCACCCACTGTCATAAAGTCAGTTTTGATTCAGAGAGTAAATTTTTACAGGAGCAGACTTCTTTCTCCTCTAGATGACTAATGGGTTTGAATCGCTAACTGACACCACCACCACCAAGGCTATAAAATCAAATATGCTGTTGTTAAGTGCCATCGAGTCATTTTCCACTCATTGTGACCCTATATAGGGATTCCAGGGAGCAGCTAGTGAGTTTGAACTGCTGACCTTTCTGTGAGCAGTGCAGTGCTAATTTTGCAGTACCACACTGGGACTCCAAAATCAAATATTTTGTTGTTAGGTGCCGTCAAATCAGTTCCAACTCATAGCAATCCTATGCACAACAGAAATAAACAATACCTAGTCCTACACCATCCTAACAATCAGTGCTACACTTGAGCCCATTGCTGCTGCATCTGGGTCACATACCTTTTTGATTATTTTTGTTACATTTTATTATGACAGTTCTTACTGTAGGTGTTTATAGTCTCCTTCCTCTTTACCCACCTCCCACCAACTTTCCTTCTTTAGTAAAAGCTTTCCAAGAGTCTGCCACTAATAGCTATGTATGACTGAATAAACCATTTGCCACAATATACCAAGTAGGAAGTTCATTTAAGGTGCTTCCTAACTTTTTAATTGCAAAATTCATATACAGAGTTGTGTACTCTTTATACTGATGAGCATCAAACAGTTGTTGTTGTTAAGTGCTGTCAAGTTGGTTCCGACCCATAGCAACCCTGTATAGGGTTTGCAGGGAGTGGCTGGTGAGCTTCAACCACCGACCTTGGGGTTCAAACAACTTTGCAGTCCAGTGCATTAGCATACAGAGTTGTGCACTCTTTATTCTGATTAGCATCAAATGGTTGTTGTTGTTGTTAAGTGCTGTTAAGTTGGTACCAACCTATAGCGACCCTGTATATGGTTTCCAAGGCACGGCTGAACCACCTACCTTGTGGTTCAAATGACTTTGCAGTCCAGTGCATTAGCCCACAGTGCCACACCAGGACTCCAGGATCAAATGATAGGGCCTGTTTTATAGTTAGAATTATTGTTGTTAAATGCCATTAAACCTGTTCCAATTATAGCAATCCTATATAGGTTTTTCAAGGAGCAGCTGGTGGGTTTGAACCACTGACCTTGCAGTTAACAATCCAGTGCTTATCCTACAGCACCATTCTAAGACTCTATAAAATTAAATATATGTTGTCTTTTATTACATTTAATCAATTTTAAAATGTGGCCAATTATTTTTAGAGAAAATAAATGAAATATGCTGTAAGATTTATTTATTTGCTTTACTTTGAAGGAAATGAAAAATTGATAAATTAGCAGTGTTTTCATTTGATAATGAATCTCCCTTCTAAGTAGAAACATTTAAAACTGTTAGTAAAGCAACTTGCCTGTTTCTTACGGGGTGGGGACCTATTGTGCCAGTTTGTATGGATATGCAATTTAAAATAACAGCTGTATTACTTGCTAAAACATATCAGCCTCAGTTTTGTAATGATGAATATGCTTTTCTAGGAAAAATTATTGGGGAATGTTTTATTTTCCCTCTAAATTTTGATGGCAGTTTCTTTAATGTCATCTAGTCTCTCCTTTCTGTTGTACACTGATTAATCTTCCAGATAATTTTCTTTAAAATGTTCATGTCTAGTTCATACAATAAACTTGATACTTTCTAGTGGCGAGTAAGAAAAGAAGCTATGATGGGTCTGGCTCAGCTTTATAAGAAATACTGTCTTCATGGTGAAGCAGGAAAGGAAGCCGCAGAGAAAGTGAGCTGGATAAAGGACAAACTTTTGCATATTTATTATCAGAACAGCATTGATGACAAGTAAGTCTAATATATACAATGGTAATGTAAAACTGCATTTAATATTTTTCAAATGCAATTCATTTTTATCTAATTTTCAAATGTAAATTATTTCTAAATTTGGAAATCACATTCTGCTTATTTGTATATACTGTGTTTAAATAAAACTAATCAAGATTATATAGTAATAAAGTGAAATAGACAGGGGCTTTGGAACCAGATCTGAGACCAAAAGTTAACTCTGTCTCTTGTTAGCTTTGTGCTCTTAAACAGGTGACTTTAACTTCTGTGAACCAAGCTTCTAACTAAAAGGGAGAATAATAATGCTTTTGTAATGGGATTATTATGTAGATTAGTCAAATAATAAATGTAAAAATCCTTAGCTCAATGCCTAGCAATGTAGTATTGTTTAATAACTTTGTTGTTGTTACACGCTCATAGTTCCAACTTGTAGCGACTCTGTATAGGGTTTCCAAGGAGCAACTGGTGAATTTGAACCACCACCGTTTCAATTCAAACCAACCCTGCAGTCCAGTGCTTTTCCTACAGCACCACACCAGGTCTCCATTTGAGGCGCTGTGGGTTAATGTTCAGGACTGCAAAGTCATTTGAACCACAAGATAGGTGGTTCAAGCTTACCAGCTGCTCCTCAGAAACCCTATACAAGGTCACTATGGGTCAGAACCAACTCCACGGCACTTAACAACAACAGCAAGTTATTATTTTGTTTTTTGCAAGACAATTTATTACAACGTAAGAATTACTATGCTGTTTTTATTTTCTGACTGTTAATTGTATATTAAATTGTATTAATGATACCTGATTTGCCAGGGGGTGGGGGTGGGTTATGATTTTTTTTTTTTTAATAGACTGGCACCTATGAATATGTATTGCATTGGTTAATGCATAAAACATAAAGAGCCTTTATGTTTTCTTATTCCAGTGATGTTGAATGGTGTATATAAGCTTAGCCAGAAGGGTATTCCAATATTGTTGAGGAGTTTATACCATGGAGGAAAGAGATCAGATGTTCACACTGGGACTCCAAAATAAAATATTTTTGTTGTTGTTAGGTGCCGTCGAATCGGTTCCAAGTCGTAACAATCCTATGCACAACATAAAAAAAAAAAAAACACTACCTAGTCCTATACCATCCTAAGAATCAGTGCTACGCTTGGGCCCATTGCTGCTGCATCTGCATCCTGATTATTTTTGTTACATTCTATAATGACATTTCTCACTGTAGGTTCCCCTCCCTGGGTTTTTGTGTTGTTAACTAAATAACAGCACAAAGCTAACAAGGAACAGAGTTAACTTTTGGTCTCAGACCTGGTTCCAAAGCCATGTCTATTTCACTTTATTACTATATAATCTTGATTAGAGTTTTATTTAAACACAGTATCACAGTATATACAAATAAGCAGAAAGTAATTTCCAAACTTAGAAATAAATTACATTTGAAAATTAAATAGAAATGAATTGCATGGGAAAGGAACTAAACTATAATCAGATGCAATTAGTTTCTTGAGTTATGAGCTATGCTTCGGGTCACAGTTTTATATGTAGTATTAAAGAATCTGATCTAGTTCTGGACTGCTAACGAATAGATGAACAGCTTACCATCCTGGTAACATTTTTGGAAGAAATGTGTCATGCCAGCAAATCGTAATATGACAGCCACAAATAGCAGCTGTAGCATTAAGTTTAAAACAACAGTATTGAAAATATCTCATGGAAAGGACCTGATGACATTTTGGTCTTTTCCATTATACTTGCCTACATAGCTATCACCATTGGTATAGTTACATTTCATGAGGTGGGTAAAATTTTAAATGACTGTTTTTATAAAAATTAGATTGTGGTGTGTATGGTTTTTTGTTTTGTTTTGTTTCATTTCACAGGCTGTTGGTAGAGAAAATTTTTGCTCAGTATCTTGTCCCCCACAACCTGGAAACAGAAGAAAGAATGAAATGCTTGTATTATTTATATGCTAGTTTGGATCCAAATGCTGTAAAGTAAGTTACTTTTTGAATGACTAGAGTATCTTAAACCTTTCATAAAATTACTTCACCTAATCTAAGAAATTGGTTTTGATGGAGTTGTTGCTTCTTTTAATCAAATCATTTGTTGTTGTAAAGTGCCATTTAATCAGTTCTGACTAATAGCAATCCTGTATGGGATTTCCAAGGAGCAGCTGGTGGGTTTGAACTGCTGACCTTGTGGTTAGCAGTCCAGTGCTGGTGGGTTTGAACTGCTGACCTTGTGGTTAGCAGTCCAGTGCTTGTCCTACAGCACCACATCAGGACTCCAATTAAATCGATTACAGTAGGTAAATATTTTTAAGGAAAACAAAAATATATATATATATGATTTAAATTCGAACCGACTCGACGGCACTTAACAACAACAATGATTTAAATTCAGGTAAGTTGAAAGTATTGAAGAGCAGAGATGTCAGCTTGAGGACTAAGGTGCGCCTGACCCAAGCCATGGTAATTTCAATAACCTCATATGGATGCGAAAGCTGGACAGTGAATAAGGAAGATCGTAGAAGAATTGATGCCTTTGAGTTGTGGTGTT